TGAGTGAGTGGAGTGAGTGAGTGGAGTGAGTGAGTGGAGTGGAGTGAATGAGTGGAGTGGAGTGAGTGAGTGGAGTGAGTGAGTGGAGTGGAGTGAGTGGGTGGAGTGAGTGAGTGGAGTGAGTGAGTGGAGTGAGTGAGTGGAGTGAGCTGAGTGAGTGTGGAGTGAGTGGAGTGAGTGGAGTGAGTGGAGTGAGTGGGTGGAGTGAGTGAGCGGAGTGAGTGAGTGGAGTGAGTGAGTGGAGTGAGGTGAGTGAGTGGAGGGAGTGAGTGGAGGGAGTGAGTGGAGGGAGTGAGTGGAGGGAGTGAGTGGACACAGATGCTCCCCGTCCGCGGACCCAACTTGCCGTTATCCAAGGCCTTCCTCTGGTGCGGGTGGCGCACCCTGTCAGTGGACTGGCTGGACGAGTCTCACGACCTTTCCAATCCGCTTCGCCAACAATCACTCCATGACCGGGAGATTCCTCGGAAGTTTGAAGATGGTCGCCCATGTCCGGCACCCCTGCGCTCCGAACAATACCCTGATGGTTTGCCTACACTCCAAGGTCGCGATCTGCAACGAGTCCACACGGATAATCAAGCCTGTGAATTCATCCTCGAGGAGATCAGGCTGCTGGCTGAACGGGGCGGAGGGTCCGTCCGAGAGAAGCCCTGGCGCAGCCTCCATTGGTGGGGGTCCACCGAACAGTCCATGATGGACGCGGGGCTTTGGCGGGACAAGCGCTATGATGCATGTTGCCTCGGTGGCGCTCGTTGCAAGGCACAGTGCCTCCGCCACAACCTCGATGAGATCGACCAATGATCAATGGCCCCCATTGACGTGCCACCACTCTCATTCACCTCATGAATGGACACCTTACTTGCAGGATGGACGTACGGTCTATCCCTCCAAAGAGGAGGCCGAATACACAGCTGTATTGGCTTTTGCTATCGCCGTTGCTGCATCATGGTGGGCCGGGCGCGTGGGTCGCGCCAAATTGCACGTTCCTCGACTGCCACAATTCGAGTGTGTCGGTGCCCGAGAACACTGGCTGGACCTCGATCCGAGAGCGCTGCGGGAATGGGCGATGGCGCCCCTTGCACTCGGGCTCGGCCTCTATCCACCAGACCCTCGTGAAGCTGCCCGGATCCCACGGAGGGCCCAGGTTGATGACGTGATCCTCGAGAAGGGTAAACTGCCGCCGAACCACGTGTATGTGGGCCAAGGTCGCGGTTCCCATCGTCTGGCTAAGACTAAGTGGGCCTCTCCAGTAATCCCCGGTTTGAACAGTCAGTCCAATGATTGGTTATGGCACTATGTGGCGCATTTGTACACATCCAACCTGGTGGGTGACCTGCACGAGCTCTATGGCAAAGTGCTGGTATGTGATTGCCCCTTTTGTGACCCTTGTGAAGCCGACGTGCTAGCCGGCCTCTGTTTCGAGGCAGGCCACCCGAGTGGCCGACAAACCATGCACCGCTTCAGTCGTGGTGGGACCCCAACAGCACGCCAGGTCATCGCTACGGGGCTGATCCGTACGGTCCAGGGCATCCCAGCGATACCAACACGTTGGTGGAGCCAGGAATCCCTGACACTTGCAAGCTGTACCCAGCCCACTTCTTCGAGAACTTCCGGTTCCCTATGGTCGAGGACATCATCAATGCGCATTCCCTGCTTGGTTGCGAGACCGGCACTATGCCGCGGATGGGCCGCTGGGCCCCCACTTGGCCGATGCTCATGTCCGTCAGACTCTCCGCGCTGCTGAGGGTCAGCAGGTGGGCGCGTTGAACCAGCGAGCCGCTCTGCCCCCTTTGCTATCCTATGACCTCAGCCCTGATGAGCGCGACCTATTGCCTACAGAGTTGCCAGCAGTGTTGGATCTAGACTTAGTCTTCGCCGCTGATTGTCATGCCCGACATCGCGGACGGCTACGTGACCTTCGCCGCGCAGCAGTGGGAGCACTGCGGGAGCTTCACCGGCGACGGTGCGCAGTGGGGCGACACTTGCGACAGTTCCAACCAGTCGCCTTGCAAGAGACCACAGCTACTCGTGACCTCGGCTTTGTGGCATTGTTGATCTTGCTGACATCTTGGCCTGACGTCACGTACCCATTTGGTCTGATTGAAGGCCTCCCCGCCGTGGGCTATGCGCCATGCTATGGAGTCTTTCCTTCGCAACCGGCTGATCGTATTACCCTTGCGGATGTGTTGTCAGGCTGATAGTATCAAATCCTGTCTACCCTCAAGCCTGGCAAGGACGACCAATTCCTCCTTGAACAGTCCACGAAAGATGCCGCCCGGGGGTTTTGTACACCTCCTTTGACGCTACCCCAATTGCGGCAACAGCTACACGGTCAGCCTTATCGGCTCATTCCACGTTGCGTGATCACTCAATCCTCGGGCAAGCAGCGCATCATCGACAACGCCGATGCGGGGGGTCAAACCCTCCGATCCTCCGATGCCAACAAACTGGTGCTTTGCTCTCCACTGAGGCCGGCGCAGCACATCAGCCAGGTCCTCCGCCACATGAGTTCTCATGAGCTGGGACAGGCATGTGCTACTGACACCTGGGAATCAGGTGGTGAAGATTGGCCAGATGCCTATCGACACAGCCCCATTCGTGTCACTGAAACGCGTGGTTGCGTTGTGGCCTTTTGGCATCATGAATGGTCTGCCCCAGCCTTCCAAGTCTATGCCGGTCTACTCTTCGGCCTTCCTCTTGCAGTGACATCGTTCAACCGATACAGCAGGCTCGTCGAAGCCCTTGGCCGTCACCTTTGTTATGCGCTGGTATCTCTATATTTTGATGATGCCTCCATACAGGATTGGTCTTCGAGCCGGGGGCCGGCTCAATGGGCTTTTGGCACCCTGAACCAGCTTCTGGGTACACCATTTGTGCCCCAGTCGATCCAATACATGAAGAGCACGTCCATTGTTGGTCGGAAACCAGTGCTGCACCTGATACTGCAAAGGCAAACAGGCAGGTCTCACAGATACCAATTCCAGCTTCATTTGCAGGAGATCGAAAAGATGAAAAGAAATGGTAAGCTCCAAGATCATTGTCTAATCCTGCACGAAATGGAAAGAACAATGCCAAGTCTTGTGCTCCTGTGTGCTGAAGAACAAAATTGGTTTACATTCTTGCAAACAGCCATGAGTAAACAACATATGAACGTCGTCACTATCACGGAGGACGACGATGCGACTTCGGCATATGGAAAGAGTAAGGTAAAAGCATGTATAAGATCAGAACTCGATTGTGTATTCTTTGCAGGGCCGTGTACTGGAGGATCAGCTTGGAACCGCTTGAACAGAACAATCAGCAATAAAGCAGCGAAGCAAATCAAACAGCATCAGCAGTTGTATTGGCAGCTTTGGGAACACTTCGCAGATGCGCTGGAACATGTGTTTTCTGTGGATGCCTGTGCACTGACTGAACTGCCAAGAAGCTGTGAATTTTGGAACGACAAGCGTATGGTACAGCTCGTGAACGGAACAGAGTCACATGTGCATGTCTTCGATGGATGCATGTATGGTCTCACATCTCAGTATAATGCAAAAGGTTTAGCCATTAAAGCAGCCGTGGAAGATAGTTTCGTGGGGGGTACACCTTAAAGAATTGCAGAAGACCTGCGATGGACACCACCAACATGTACCTTGTGCCGGTAGGGATACGCGTGTGACACAACTGTATACGTTCAGGATTGCGCAAACCATTCTTGAAACGCTCGACAAACGTTTGCTGTCATTGTGGAAAAAAAGACATGTCACAAGTCGACCTCCGAAGCTTCATGATTGGTCGACATCGCCGCATCCTTTGCTGCGTAGGGAGGATATGTCTAGCGAAGCAAG